TAATAATAATAATAATAATAATAATAATAATAATAATAATAATAATAATAATAATAATAATAATAATAATAATAATGTATTAAACGAGCCAGCCTACATACAATTCATTTTTACAATTATTTCGTCCAACTTAAAAAAAAAAGTGCTGTGTCTGAGTTTGGGACCTGTCTCAGTTCGGAACCCAGTCACTCTGTCTAGAACTCAGTTGTCTCAGTCCAGAACTCAGACACTTGGTCCAAAACTCTAGTTGTCTCAGCCCAGAACTGAGACAGGTCCCCAACTGAGGTACAACAGAAGCAATATCATCGTCATGTTTTTGCTTTAAATCTAAAGATTCACGAAAATGATTCAGTGACAGGTTAAGAGAAAATATGAGGGAGAGAGGTGGTAGTCAAGACAATCTAACTTTTAGTGTAAAATTATGTATGAGTTTTGCATTGCAAATGAAACTTCCAATAAATACATATATTTGGCACTTGAGAGTGCATTTACAATAACCTTCCAACTACTATTCGATTATTTTATGTTTAAGATTTTGCTAAATGGCTGCTCAAATCTTTGCTTATACACAATTTTTAAAACTTGTATCGATTGATATACTGACTATTCTATCACTTATTGTTTCCCATTTCAGCTTCACCTTTGCTACTCATCTTCCCCTCCCTTCTGTTACATCCTGATCACCCAATATTACTCCATGTAACAGCCACGTTTTTTCGATCGTATGCCCAATTTGATCTCTAATATCTATCCCGTTAATATCAATATCTCTCTCTATTGGCAACGGATTTCCTTCTATCAACTTTGATATCGTTATCAACGTAAAGCAAATTCACTCTTAATTATATGCACTTGGCTGAATCCACGTCAATATTTTATAATTTTTATTTCCGATAATGATGATGAAGATAATGTCATTGAATCCTCATTCTATGACATAAGTTTATTTTGCAGTATATACAAGTACAATGAAACCTAGAAGACAGGACTTGCAAAGTAGTAAAGTTTAAAGGCTTGATTACTACCAAATATTGATATCGTTATTGTATGACGTGAATTATTTAAAACCCTAACCATGATATTCAACCCATTTGGCATCCCCGCATATATTAACCAAACTGACCGGTCCCATAAGGTTGATATTAGAGGGGTCGACGGTATTGCCTTTTGACAATTACAATCCTTCTGTTAGTTCAAAGTAATGAGATGAACTCAAACACAGAAGTTGCACTCGCAATCGCGGAAAACATTTACGGAGGGTTTACGTTATTCACATGCTAAAGTAAAAACGGCATATGATTGTGACGTCAATGCATTCACTACTATTGATATTTGCCGACAAAAATCTGAGCAACTTGGTAAGTTAAGCAGGTCTCGAAAAAAATTAAATTTTTTTTACACTCTCCCAAACACACATGTCAGTCTCGATAAGTCGGCCAACAGTAGCCCGCCTCAAATAGCCGATTTATCTAAAATCACGTGATCGAAGATATACATTTAATTAAACCATTTATTATTAATTAATACATTAATACAATTACATCACAAATAATCTTGCAGACTAGCTTGTCTTAGAGAATCGACTTGTTTATTGCTTTAATCGTATGACTTTAATAATCGTATGACTTTAATCGTATGATCTAATGCATGTTTAGCTCTTTGATTGTAAGATTCTAATGGCATGACATATTTATCGTATGATATAGGGCTTTTGTTATAATAATAACATTGCCAATTATAAGTATTTGTGTAGCCAATTGTATTGAATTGAATGTATACGTCTTACAAATTGTCACGTGAAACCGACTTATCCAGCTGGAGCCGCTGGCCGACTTAACGACTTATACTCAATACTTATAATAACTACATCTTAATCTCTCACTATCGCCTAGCTTGCAAGTTGAATAAATAAGATATGCAATCGGTTAGCCACCGTATTTCTGACGAGAGATACAATCTACATTAGAAAATAAGATCTTGCGTCCAGTACTTACAGAAAGAGAATGAAGTGGCTTGGGATATTTATTGGCACCGGATGAACCTTTGGGTATTTCTAAAAACGTGACTTTATTGCGGATGTATCAACCAAAATTTAAGGTGCTATCAAAAACGGAACTGTCGATCAACCATGTGAGTGACTGATTACCGCCGATTTGTGGTTGATCACAAAGCCTCAATTCCAACGGAAACTGACTATATTTATTCCGAATATGCAAACTTTAAAATCCTTGAGAAAATACTCAGCAATGCTACAGATTAAGCTAGTGTGGATCTAATGGTGAAACAGCGATCTTATCTTTCATGCTAAACTACTCTAGTATTATTTCTCATTTACTATCTCACCAGTCTCGAATGGCGTACGTTCTTAGCGTTTATTATCTCCAAAATTTTCTTCTTAGAAGATCATGATGACAAACTGTTGACTTGAATAATCGCACTACGAACTCTTTGTCGAGTTTTGCTTTTGTTTAGCGTAACACACCTAAGGATAAAGGGCGGTTAAAAATTTTACCCCCATAAAATAGAGTTGAGGCTGTAACCATTTGTTCTACCACCCGTCGTGGTATAATGGCCGAATGTTGATAGATACGGACAAGAACCAATATGCACGCATCATCTTGGTCTAAACAGTGAAAGAAGCAGCTACACCGATAATCTAAGATCAGCATTCGCACTGTATGGGTACTTTTATATTCAATTATGAATGAATGTGTCTACAAGCATATCGACATCATATAACTTAGCACAAACAGTCGTTATCGGAAGCCCATTATCGTATTATCAACGTAGAACTTCAAAGGTCGTGTGTGCGTTTATCGATCCATATAATATATGATATTAGAACATAAATCATTAAAATATATTTCCACTACTTCGTATTATTTGGCTCTCATTATCATTACACTTACACTTGTGATTATCCACTATCCGTGGCTGAGTCTGATTTAAGCATTACTATTATGGAAATTAACAATGAGAACCATATACGACCGTGATAGGAAGGAAGATTTCAATCGGATAATCTAACTGAGTAAAAAAAAAAAAGGTACTTGGACAAAAACCCGACAAACAATAGTAATAATAACAATAACAATAAATGACGGGGCTAGAATATCAATTTCTAATCAAATTGATATTGATTCACCACCGAGGGCGTTTTTGAGAGTACCGATGACAATTGATGGTATCGTTGATCAAATCAAGTTTTTTCTTCATACAAATTGTAAATGAACCTTCTCCTTTAGATCTGCAGGTGGAAAAAAAAGTTACATATCCGGCAATGCTTGAGCTACATTGGATCTGGTATACAACGACCAATACCCGCTAAGCATACGCTGGACAATACGCCGGGTATGTGCATACATGACTACAGTGATTTACAATAATGCGACAATATCTTTGCAAGGTCTCAGACTTAAAATAAATGCGTAATTGTGCAGAAATTTTAATTAGTACTAATTAGTATTAGTATGCGTGCCCACTGTTTAATTAATATTGTAATAAAGTAATTTAGTCATTGAATAACGAAAGTACATACGGCCTGTCTAATTTGGGAAACATGATTATCGAAACAAGGTTGATTATCATTCTTAGTGCGTTTGGCGACAATAAAGCGCGTTATATGATAGCTCACACTATCTTTTGTTTTTACAAAATCGGAATAGCCCCGCACAAACAAAAAATTTTTTTTACATTTATTGTATATGCTGCATATAATATGTCTTGAAAAAGGAATTACCCCTGAGAATTGGGCTTAAACCCGATAATGTAAAAAAAAGAAGAAGGTCATCCCCAAATATTGTCAAAGACCGGATAAACTATCAATAATAACATTATTAACATCCATAAGGTCGATAAGTATAACTATTCCATTATCTTGTATCACATTATACCCTTTATATATAGAGTCAGAAATTTGATTGATAATTACTGTAACTGACAAAGACGACAATTTATTTCCACGTCCTCGTCTAAAAATGTCACACCAACTCCATCACCGCAAACTTCCACCTCGCAAGGCTGTCTTTCAACCACGAACAATGTGCGGTATACTTGCCTCTACACGAATTATGCAGCCCGAACACACGCGTATACGAAGTTTAAACCCTTCGTTATCTCGGGTACACCACAGATAAACACACTTTTTATCAAGTGGTAACGACAACTCGGTGAACCAAATTCACTAGCGCTTGGAAGAACACTTTTAAAAGACTAACGTT